CTCCTCTCAGGTCAAGTTTGGTAAAAATACTGGAGCCTTTCAGTCTGTCAAAGAGTTCAGTAATCAAAGGAATGGGGTAAGCATTCCTGATGGTAATCTTGTTCAATCCCCGATAGTCTATGCAAGGACGTAAGGTACCGTCTTTCTTTTCTACAAAGAAAAAACCCGCCCCCGCCAGAGATGAAGACTTTCTAATAAATCCTTTGTCTAGATTTTCCTTGATGTATTCCTCTAAAACTAAATTTTCTTTGGTAGACAGAGGGTACGCCGTACCCCTAGGAGGCATAGTACCAGGCAAAAGTCTAATAGTACAGTCATAAGACCGGTGGGGAGGTAAAGTATCAGCCTTACTCTTGTCAAATACAGACTTGAGATCCAGATACTGAGATGGTATCTGTAAGTCTGTGGATTGAGAAGAGTTGGTAGAGGAGTTTACTGGGCAAACAGAAGTGACTCTCAGCAAACATTTCTCCCTACAACCAGTTCCCCAAGAAACGATCTCTCCACATTCCCAGTCAATCTGGGGGTTATGTCTCTTGAGCCAAGAATATCCTAGAACCACTGGGACAGCCGGGGAGGATATTAACAGGAGGGACAACATCTCCTCGTGGAGGATACCGATGGTTAGTTTAACGGGTTTAGTCTCATGGAATATTACTGGTTCAGACAAAGGTCTACCATCTATGGCCTCAACGGCCAAGGGTGTGTCTCTCAGTTGGGATGGGAGACAATGCTTATTAGCGAAAGCTTGGTCTATAAAGCTTTCTGCTGCTCCAGAGTCTGGCAAAGCCATCGTAGATATAGCGCCACTTTCCCAAGCTAAAGAGACAGGAATCAGAAGCCTATGGTCTTTATCATTATACATAGAGGACAATATAGAAACACCCAAGGCCCATCCTCTAGGGGAACTTAGGTGCGAGCGTTTCCCGAGCGATTAGGGCAATTAAGACATAGGTGACCTCTCCGCCCGCAGTATAAACAGAGGCCCTGCCTCTTCTGTACTGTCTCTCGGCCTCAGATAGGCGAGTATTACCTATCTGCATAGGTTCTGGTGGAGTAGGATTGTAGGAATCAGGGTTCTGGAAGGAAGGAGCAAGTCTCATAGGAGGTCTACTAGCTCTTTCTCGAGTGTTCTGCCTCTGTCTCATGCGTTCATCTATTCTGGAAATAAAAGACACTAAATCTTCTAAATTTTCTGGAAGTTCTCTTGTGGCAATCTCATCTAGAATCTCATCAGACAACCCATTCAAAAATACATCCATAAAAGCTTGTTCGTTCCATTTCACCTCTGCTGCCAGGGATCTAAACTCTAACGCATATTCTACCAGATTCTATTTTGTTGTTTAAGGCGTAACAGAGATCTGGCTGCATTAACCTTCCTTCCTGGGGGGGTCAAAAGTCCTTCTGAAAGCTGTGACAAACGCAGTATAGTTGTAGACTAAAGGGTTATCATTCTCCCACAGGGGATTGGCCCATCCAAGTGCTTTGTCTATTAGCAGTGTTATAATGAACCCTACTTTAGCCCTGTCAGTAGGATAAGCCTGGGGTTGAAGTTCAAAATGTATGCTTATCTGGTTTAAAAAACCTCGACAAGTATCAGGCGAACCCCCATATCGTAACGGGGAAGTGACATGGGAAGATGCGCCTACAGTGGCTACTTCCAAACCAGTACTTAGAGGATGGCTAGCTGTGGAGCGTATTTCTTCTGACTGGGTACTGGGACGTGCTAGCAAAGATTGCAACGCTAGAGCCATTTGGTCCATTCTATGGTCCATGGCCTCAAATCTGGGGTCAGGAGGACTAACACCTGCAGGATCCATATGGCCCTGTCGTAATGTCAGGATCGTGACAGGGATCCAATACGCAGAGTGCGGACAGGAGGAGGTACGTATACCGGACCTTAGAATGGCCGGACTAACGTATAGACAAGACAAGAATGGTCAAAAGGTAAGCCGAGGTCGAGGGAGCCGGAGGACAGGTAAGCGAGGAACAAGCCGGGTCAAAGGAGAGGAGAGAGCAGAAGGACAAAGGTACAAGCTAGGTCAAAACCGAAAAACACAAATAGAGAGAACGCGCTGAGTGACTAGCAAGCTAGAACCACGACAGGGCAATGAGCAGTAGTAAAAGCTTCCCTTAAATACCCTGTCACCTTAATTATGACCACGCCCCCAAAAGGTCCGGAATTGCGGTTCCCGGCGGTTCACGTGATGATGACGTCATGACGTCGACGATTAGCCGTCGCGTCATAAAAGGGGGAGGAGCTAGCGCGAAAACGGCCGAAAAATTACGAAATGCTTGGGCATAGGAGCCCCTTTGGAAGAGAGACTGACCTCCTCAGAGGTTGAATTTACAGGTAACCTGACAATTATTAGCGAATAGCGCTCAGATCCCACACACATAGTTCAATCGCCATGGAGTCAAAGTTCTTACAGTCTTTCAGTATGCGATTGACTCCATGGGAAGGCTATCTGGGTTAAGTCCTTTCGTGTGTTTCAAAACTCCCGAACGGCCTGTGTTCGTATGCTTTCGTGGAGGCAGCCAGGCGTTCCATTGTTTCAGCGGTGTTCGGCAGAAAAAGTGTCCGTTTTTAGTTCCATGAAAATAGAGCCGAACACCGCTGGGCTTTCGCGTAGTTTAAAATGGCCGCTGCCTCGTGGTCGACATACGAACGATGACCACCCTGAATTCGGTTTAATTGAGAAGTGTCTGCGGTTAACCACAACGTTCTAATTGGGATCAATAGGTTAACCAGCAGCACACTCTCCTGGGTGGCCATCCGTTCGGTAGTTTTGTTCGGGAAAAACGGTCATTTGTATGGCTGGGCTATAGGAAACAGCCATTTACACGAACGGGGCAGAAACAGACGAATCCACCTGCAATAAACAGACAGATGGTTCTGTCACAGTATTATGTACCGTCCTTGGTTGTCTGTTGTTAGTTTGAGTAATTCGAAGGTCTGCGATTTATGTATCAAAATTGATACCCCTCTAGCTTTCGATGTGTGCGTTGCGTGGTATTGTATTGGGTAATCTTTGATACCAAAGGTAGGGACTTTGGTTTTGACAAAGTGCGTCTCTTGGAGACACACTACGTCAGGGTGAGCCGTTTTTGCGTCTTTGAGTAGCATTCTTCGTTTGTGAGGGGTGTTTATGCCCCTCACATTATGTGAGTAGAATTGTATCATTGATATTTTCTCTAGGTTGAGCAGGGATATAGTTTGTCTAGACTTTATCTGTGATAGACTTTATTGCTAGTTCTTGTTGCTTTTTTTGGCGAAGTGTATGACATGCTAGTTCTGTACTCTTGGCATTGGTCTGCTGGGAAAGGTGGTGAATTGTGTTGGGGGCACTGGTGTCCATGGTTGGAAAGGGAGGTTAAACTTGGATTGTGTGAAGGGTTGAGTCCGGGGGTGTGGGTGGGGGAATGTGAATGGGTGGTTTCCCGTTAGGGATGCGATGCCACTAGAGTGCATCGCGGGGTTAGAAACGCTCGTCCCTGTGGGTGGCTAGTGAGCTATTGTACTCCTGGGTATATATAGACATACAGAGTTATTCCGGCTGTGGTGCCGGGTTTTAGGCGTGCATATGAAAGGTGCCAGTGGGTGGGATTGATTTCAGGTGCGCCCGATGGGCTTTCTCCTTCAGTCCTGATTTTGGGCAGCTTCTGATTCCCTCGCTCTTGTAAGAAGTTTACAAGTGGTTTGGGTCAATTGTTGAGCCTACTTCAGTTTGTGGCATCTAGCACGCTTGAATAAAACAAAGAAAAAGAGAATAACAACGAAAACTGTAACATAACTAAAATTGACATAACTAATTGGTTTAGAGGCTTCCAATTTTGCTATCCTTCCTGGTCTGCTCTCCCGTGTTTTTATTTGGTTATTTATTGGAAATTATCATTTTAGCAATCTCAGCCAACATAATGAATTCTAAAGTCATATCATGCGTGTTGGGCTGTGTGCTTTTTTTTTTATTTTATTTTTTTTCCCTCTCCCTGCTTGCTTACTGTGACAGGTGGTATTGCACCGGCTGGGATTTATGGGGGTGGCAAGGTGCGTGTTATGTGTTTTTGTGTCGCATTAGGCATATAGTAGTCAAATATACAAATATACAAAAATACAAAAGAAAACAGGTACATTGTGTAGGTGTCTGACTTGGGAATTGCATCCCTCACCCTTAATCGATACAGGTATGTTTTAGTACTACAGTATCTACTAAATAAGCATGTAAACAGATGCGATATGTGTAATACTAGCTCGGGAGTTACATCTTATCATCATTACCGATAAAGGTGTATGTTAATGCCCCAGTATGCACAGGTCAGCAATTAAATAGATGCACTGTGTGCATGTCTGATTGGGGGATTACAACATATCAATATTAACGGATAGAACTGAGGGCATATTTTGAGTTGAAGGTGCTTGGAGGATAGTCTATGTTATCAGCGTTTCTTTGTGACTCTGGACCAGTCCAGTCTAATTCTCCGTTGTGCACCTGTTGCCTGGTCGTCAAGTAAGTTGTCAAGGCCCCAGGATTTTAGCTCACGGAGACCATCTTCCGGGGTGAGTAACGGTATGAGTTTTCCATCTTTGTTTGCCAGGACTTTTGTTGGAAAACCCCAGCGGTAGCAGATGCCGTTGTTTCTCAATATATCTGTAATCTGGGAGAAGTCTCTTCGCCTGCGGAGTGTCGCTGCTGAAAGGTCGGTGAAGAGTTTCACTGTGGGGTAGCTCTCAAGCGGCTTGGCTTTATTCCTGCAGGCCCTGAGGATAATTTCCTTGATGTGGTAATAGTGGACTTTGATCAGTGTGTCTCTGGAGACCGTGTCTGGTAGGTGTCTGGGCCGTGGTACTCGGTGCATGCGGTCTATGAGCAGCATGTCAGCAGGGATATCAGGCACGTAGGTATGGAGTAGGCCTTGGATATAGGCTGGTAGGTATCCCCCTAATGCGGATGTTGTTTCGTCGTGCTCAGTCCTCCAAATCTGCAAGTTTTGTTTCTGTTCGGTCTAGTTTTGCCTCCAATTCTTCCACATGGTCTGCTAGGTCATTGTGTGCGGAGGTAAATTCCTCCATTTTGGATTCCGTATGCGCTGTGCGTTGGCCGAGATCTGTAACGTCTTTGTGCAGGGAGTCCATTGATGCCTGCCATGATGATATTAATTTCCTGGAAAGATCATCCAGTGCTTTGGACAGGTAAGTTGTAGTGAGGGTACTCCCTTGGTTTTGTATTTCGGCAGTGCGCTGTGGGATTTCTGATCCCTCCATGCTGTCGCCATCTTTTTCTGAGGCCTGTTGTTCCACGTGGTCAGAAGTGGATTTCTGCACGAAAATTTTTTATTTTTTCAGTTTTAGCTGAGTTCTTCTTTGTCTTGTATTGACACATTCTCTAGTTTTCGTTGTTTTTGTAGCTCTGTATGTCAGGATGGCGATGGATTAAGAGCTCTGAAGCCGGCGCTGGAGATTATGCTTCCATCTCACTCGGCTGCTAGCCATGCCCCCCAGACTTACACATTTCAACAATAGCACATTGCATCACAATCCCTCCTCTCTGGCCTGGAGATAATTGGGAAGTAATCCAATACTCTCCAAGGACAGAGGCAAAACTCCATTACACACATTTTAGTAAAAAGACATAAAATTACACACGGTTACCTTTATCACACAAAACACACACATTCTACAATCCCCAGATAGCTTAGATCCGAGCGCACATTACTACCGAATGGCGCTCAGATCACATACATACAGTTCAATTGCCATGGAGCCAAAGTCTTTCCCATAGTCTTTCGTTACACGAATAGGCTCCATGGCATGGCTATCTGGGGTGATGCTGTTCATACGGTCAAACTACCGAATGAACAGTGATTCGGTTCCACTACCGAATGCAGAGGTAAAGAGGCTGGCGGCTCAGCGGTGTTCGCGCAAATAAGTGTCCGTTTTCAGTTCCATAGTTTGGGCGCTGAACACCGCTGGCCGTTCGGGAGTAAAAATGGCTGCTACCACGTGTTCGGCAGACGAACAAAGGTCAATTGACGGCACACTCCAGTTCCCAGGTGGTCGATTGTTCGGTACTTTGTTCGGTAGATTGAATCTACCGAACACCCCGGCAGAAAGGCACGAATACGCTTTTCTGCAGGGAAAATAAAAGGTTTTAAAAGCCGGTCCATAGTCTAAAGGGAGCAGGCGAGCAACCAGGCTCCTCCAGTGGACAGTGGCGAGGCTGGTTTCGCCACACCATCGTGGCGTAGGCAGAAACAAGGGGAGCCAAGTCATTTCCCAAAAGGACATCAGCTGGTAGGTCCTTCATCACCCCCACGTTCACATGTCCAGAGCCCACTCCCCAATCCAGATGCACACGGGCAACAGGCAGGCAGAAGACAGTGCTCCATGCCACCCTTACGGCTACAGTGTCCCCGGTATGCTGGCTCTCGGACACAAGGTTCTTTTGCAGCAAGGTCATGGTAGCACCAGTATCACGCAAACCATTGGCTACCTTCACATTGACTGTTTGTCGGTGCTGCTGTCGGTTGTCTCGGTGAGCTGCTTGGACAGGGTCTGCTTCATGTAGGATGCCCCAACATTCTTCCTCTTCGATGCAGTGTGCAGCAGGCAAGGGGTTGCGTTGATTCCCTCCGGCTGGCCTTCTCCAGGATTGCAACTGCCGGGCCGGGTTCAATGGGCACTCTGGCTTCTTATGCCCCAGTTGCTTACACCCATAGCACCAGTTGGGTTGAGAATAGTCCTGGGAATTGAATCGGGACTGCTGGGCATAATGGGTTGCTGGAGGTGGTGCTGGAGCGCGGTGCGCCGGGGTTTGGTTGACGGCCACTGTAGAGGGTGCCGCTGGTCGATATTCCACTCGAGCGGTGACTTTAGCCACAGAGCTATCCACTTTCCGAGTATCGGTATATTCGTCTGCCAGGTGGGCAGCTTCAGGCATAGTGGAGGGTTTGCGGTCCTGGACCCACTCCCTGACTCCTGGGGACAGCTTGTCAAAGAAGTGTTCTAAAAGAAAAGGCAGGAGCACTTCTTCCCCATATACGGCTTGGCATCCAGCCACCCAGTGGGCTGCGGTGCGGTGTACCCGGAATGCCCATTCTGTATAAGAATCTCCTGGCAGCTTGTTGGTGTCTCTGAATCGCCTCTGGTATGCCTCCGGTGTGACTGTAATACCTGGTTAACAGAGCTTCTTTCACCACATGGTAATCAGCAATATCCTTGTCTGGGATGGCCTGAAAAGCCTCACTGACCCGGCCGGATAGCTTCCGGGACAAAATAGTAACCCAGTTCTCTGGGGTTAACCTGTGTAGTGCACATTGGCGCTCAAAATACGCAAGGTATCCGTCAATTTCCCCTTCTGCTTCAATGAAATTTTTAAATGCAGCAAAATGGACTTTCTTTTTCTCAGCCGGGATTATGGTGGTTTGGACTGCTGCAGCACTTCTTTGTTGCAGTAAACTTGCCTCTACCGTGGCTATGACCCAGTCAATAATGCCTACGGTCGGGTTAGGACCATAATACGCCAGTCTTAACTAAACTGCCCGGTCAAAACTTGCCTCTTCGGGGGTTCAGGTCGGTTATGCTGGGCCTCTCGGTTACGTTGGCTCTTTCGGTTCCATCGGTTCTTTCAGCTCCATCCATCTCGACTAGCTCTGCGATGATGTCCCTCTTTTTGCGGTTACTAACCAGTCGGCCACGGCTTTCTAGCAGATCTTTGAGGGTAGAGCGTTTCAATCTTTCCATCGGTCTATGTTCCTGTGTAGCTGACCTTCTGGGCTGTGAGAACCATCCCGTCGCTTGCCACCAGTTGTTACGGTACACCCAGGTATATGAGGGGTTAATACCGCTGAGGATGTTCCCTTTCCGAATGGAGAAGCAGCTAACGAAAGCTCCAATTAGCTGAACAGGAACTATACGAAATCCTTTACGAACTAAACAACCGAACGAGCAAACCATACGAATCCAATACCCCCAAGTACGAGACCAAGCTCCGTATTTAGGGTTAAGCAGAGATCTGGTTTATTGAGGGCTACCTGCCCAGTATTTATGTAAGGTCTTCCACCTGGTGTACACTCCCCTAGGGGACCAGATATACAGTGGCCAATCACAGTGGCACAAGCATAAACACTCCCCTTTAGCTGAGAAAGACCCTCCTCTCTATCCTGGAGATAATTGGGAGGTATTCCAATTATCTCCACGGATAGAAGCCAAACTCAATTTTTGACATAGTAAGAATAATACATAAAAATCAATAACTTAAAATTACACGAATAGAATGACCACATTTAACGTATCCCTAGATAGCCTGGATCTGAGCGCACATTATTATTGAATGGCGCTCAGATCCTATACACACAGTCTGTAGCGGATGGTATTACGGCTGTCCTAAAAGACTGTGTTAAAACTTCAATTCGTGTGTATTCTCCTGTATAGTTAAAAGTGTATGTAGTATTCGTATGATTGTTCGGTAGTTTCATCCGTATCCCATACGAATGAAAACTACCGAACCAGTAGACCACCACAGAGAGAAGTGTGCACCTTATTAGGATTCACACTTCTCTAACCGCAGGATAATTGGTACTTTGTGCATGTATTTTGGTGGCCGCCACCACGTGTTCGTATGCCGAACGGCGGCCACCCTCAGCGATGTTTGGGCGTCGAGTGTCTGGAACTCAAATCAGACACTCAATTACCCGAACACCGCTGAGACCTCCAGAGCTCCATAACTCCTGAACTAATCAGCCGCCCGTTCGGTGAGTTAAAAGTACCGAACAAGGGGATTCATGCAAATACAAGGTTAATAGTGGATGTCATGTACTTATGTGTATTTTACCTCCTGAATGCAGGGCCAAAACACATGGAACCCTTTCCGGCTACCACCTCGTGTGCGGTCGGTCAAATTGTCCCTTCCACCTAACTCCCGAACCCCTGGTCTGATCTGGGTGAATTTTGGATATGTTGGTCACCCAGATCAGGGCTACCAGGGGGTGCCAGTTAGCCAATTGTACCTAACTGTTTTGGGGTACATCCAGAACTCGGGGAAAACTACAGCATGTTTAATGGGATTATGTGTCACACTGAGGGGAGGAGATGTGTGGGAGGTAACTGTGACATTATTGGTTACGGTCCTAATTATGGTGAATCCCTTGCTTGCATGGGAGAATGCTTTATAAGGAGGTTGTGTGAATTAAAAGGCAGTTCTGCTCCTGATGCTGTGTGTTGTCCAGTCATTGGGATCTGTATGGGAATATTCGTGGATTGTAACGGACCGTTTTGCCCACAAGAGGTTAAAAACCGTTTAGGCGATATTGCCCTTTCAGATGCACAGACAGCTACTGCAATCACCAATCTCCCAAACTGGAGACACACGAATACTGGAAACAGCTGAACAGGAAAAACCATATGCAAGGTTTACACTCCTGGCAGTCAGCATACCATCCAATTCCCCCAATAACGAGACGACACTTCGTTTGAGGGTTAAGCAGAATCTGTTTACTGGCACCAAAAGAACCTTCTTTTATGCAGGTTTCCCTTAGATAGGACCACCCACAGGGTTTTACAAAACAACCAATCATACACGTATATTACAGAAACACTCCCAGCAATTACATACAAAATCCTCCCCTCTGCCTGTGATATAATTATGGTACACAATGGTTTAACATAATTAACAGACAGTAAAAATACAGTTTTTACCCATATCCTGTAACTTTAAAACCACACATCCAATCTCTATAACAATTACATATTTAAAATCAACAACCTTCAAATATATACATAACCGAAAATCAGCCAAATCCATCCAGGGGTTAAAAAGTTAGCTGGAGGTCCCTTTATGACCACCGCAAGCACATTTTCCTGCCCAAAACAGTTCCATAGATTTGGGCTGTGCAGTTGGTCTATTTCAGGCTGAAAAAAATCGCCGAATGGAACTTAGTCTCTGTGGCTGTAAAATCATTGTGGGAGAAGGTAGGGCTCAGCGGTGTTCACGGAAATGTGCAGCCAATTTTAGTTCCATGAATTTGGCTATACATACCGCTGACCTCGTGCGAATGATCAAAGATGGCCGCCGCCACGTGTTCGGCAAACGAATGAAGGCCACGAAGCGTTCGCCAATTAAGCTGCGGTTAACCGCAGCTTCTGGGAGGTAAATTGCCAACACACTCCCAATACAGGTGGTCCATCTGTGTGGTACTTGGTTCAG